TTCAAACGCTCTTACTAAATACAAATACATGGCTACAGCATGCAATTTACACTAGACTGACAGATAGATGGTCCTTTTACTCACCAGTCCCACTGTCAGCTGCCCTTCTTTAACCCTGGAGCCGTTGTGAACAGTCTTGAACATTTCCAGCAGCTCATCCTTGCGCAGCAGACGGCTGGAGTTGTGGAAAGATGCATCGGATGAACCAGCAGTCTCTCCCTCTGCTTCTTCCTCGCCTTCTGAACAGGTCTTCCAGTCCTCCTCATCTACGCTTACCTCTTCCTGCTCTTCCTCTATGTCACTCTGTTCTCCCCCGTTGTCCTCATCCTCCTTGTTCTTTACCTCTTCCTCTCCATCTGCACCTTTCTGACTCACATCTTCTTTAATTTGCCGTCCTCCTTCTTCTGGATCACTCTCTTCACACTCTGGATCGGCCACCTCCATGCCCTGTGAGGGGACAAGTTTCTGCACTATTTTTCACTGGGATTAAAGACGCCAAAAGGTGACTTTTTCTTCAGTACAATAAATGATCTGTTCCCTAAAAAAATACAAGTGCATCACAGTTCAGAGAAGAGAGAAAAGTCTCACCTTTTCCTCTGCATCCAGCCTGTTGCCTTCAGCCAGAGCAGACCAGAAAACTGCCCTCAGCCCCTCTTTCTCAAAGTATTTGGCCCAGACTCGCCTCTGCTCCCTGGTCAGTAGATCAGCTTTGTTCACCAGAAGCATGTTCACCTTATGCTCTGAAACTTCTTTAACATAAGACTCCTGGTGCCACACAACCAGAGAATTATTACAATCACTGCAGTACAGTTTAAACGTATGTAATGACGGATACAAGCAAATGTTGACAGATGAAATATGCAAAACGATTAAACAAAGTGTAATTATTTTCATATATGAAACCAGATTTCTATCATCTGTCCACTATTGAAATAAAGCACTTACAAGGTCCAGACATCTGAACAGCAAAGGATTTCTGGCATCAACAATTTGAACAACGACGTCACTAAAATAAGAAAAAAGAAATATTTGTTTTTTCCACTCAGCATCACATAATGAGAACAGATTCCTCAGGAAATGTGATCTGCTGTTGATCTGGGTTCTACCTCCTCTCAATCACTCTCCACAGCTGTCTCCAAAATTCAAGGTTTCTCTCAAACGGGGTGAGAATTAACTTCTGCTCCTCTTCCAGCCTTTGAAGAGAACACTTGTAATTAGATTACAGGCAACGATAATCCAGCACAAATGTATCATAAGTCATTAATTAGAAATTTTTGAATGGTTATCCCTGCATTCCACTACTGATTCTTAACACCAAAAGTGACTCAGAGTACAGAGAAGCTGCATACTGTGCAAGTGCTCGTCTCCACTCCAAGAAGCTGTCTTTCTCTGTCTGTTGAAGCTCGTCTGGACTGGTGCTTTCATCCCAGTGGGGTCTTATAACAAGGAAAGACACAACAGATCTTATCAATGCAACATATTATTTATACGTTAAGACAAATTAAGCTGTAAAAACATGTCGACTCAAATCACCGTCTCGGAATTCTGAGGAAATGTTTGTTGTCTTCGTGCAGCTTCATCAGTTCGCTTTTCTCCTCGGCTGTTAATAAGCCCGCTCGAGCTTCTGCCGGCACAAACTTGATATTGAGCTTCTCTAAGAAAACACAGAAATGAATGAAAGTGATTAGATTAGCAAGCAGAATAAAAAGGCAGATCTGCAGTGGAGATCATATAATATTTAACACAAAAAACACTTAAAAACACAGGAAGAATTACTTCTGTTAGGTTTATACACGTAAATATTGTGGACTAAAGTTCGACGTGGAAGGCTCATTCCCAGTTATTGCAAACACTCGATTGCAGTTCTCGCTACCCAAGGACAACCAGTTGCTAGATTTATGGGGACAATTACTTTTCCACACAGAACCAGGCAGCTTTGATTTGTCTTTTTCCCATAGTAAGTGATGTCATCATTGAACAATTATCTTTGCCTAATTTATCATTTAATTTGTTGATGTCCTGAAACGTGCAAGTGTGACAAATATTCAAAAAATATGAATTCAGAAATGGGGCAAATACTTTTTTACAGCACTGTAGTTTCCCATGTTTGATAAGTAAAAAAAAGAAATATACCTACAATTCACCTGAAAACTAAACCTGAGTGAATCAAAGTGTTATTTACCTGCAACAAACTCTGTTCCTGCCAGTTCAGCTGTGGCCAGAAAGTCATCCATGGAACTTTGTTCTGTCACTGACTGCAGGTTCAGCCGCCCCCAGTCGTAGCCATCATTCAGTTCACTGGTGTGGAGCTGAAAATATAAAGAAAAAACAATGACAACAAACTTTCAGTAGCTTGACCAGCAGTAAGTGCCTGTGAAAAAGGGTCCAGATTAAACAAAGCAGCTGTGACTGGGACATCATCGCCAAATAGCGGATCATTTTCACATCCTTGCATCCAAACCACCCTGTGACTTGTTCTAAAAATACTTGAGATTTTGTTAAAACAATTTCCCAGAAAAGTTTATCCCCATTACAAACGTACCCCAGTCATTTATTTATTTACGTAATAGTACTTGCTCATTAGTTCGTTTGCTCTAAAACAACAGCATCAGTAAATGTACATCCTGGTAAGCCAGTGTGGGGTAATCGTAACACTAATACTAACAGCTAAGTGGAATTAAAAAAGTTGAGTGGCATTTAAAAACGGGGTCACAACTGCTTAGGGGATGATACTATATCACGAAAGGTCTCATATCTACATCTGTGATTATCTGAACACGTTTAACACGAGCTTAAAAAAAACTGTGTCATACCCAAGAGTCGCCCCTTTTGTTTCCCCGGCCTGCCTGGAGCCTTTCCTTGATCAGAGCTCTGCCCAGCACGGCTCCTCCGCCCGCCTTCTTCTTGCCCATAATAGCCTCCGATGCTGTCACTTCACAAAACACAGGAGGAATACAAAACTGAGGAATACTGCGGCCAGCCACTCGCTTCAGAGACCCATGTGCACTACCTACAGCCTTGTTGTCGTAAAAACCGGAAATGGAACAAACCAAACGATTAACATATCCGGACAATTAAATTGGTGTTGGACTTTAGAAGCCATGTTATTTTATAAAAAGCTACCCTTTATATTCTTTATACTGTTAATAAAATAAACTCTAATACAGTGACATACATTATCTTCTCATTTATGTGATAAATACAGTCGGGAGAGTAGCTGTGGTACATTCCGGTTACACGCTCAGCGGTTAAATGTGCCCTGAAGAAACACCGTCAGAAACAACATGAGTTCCTCGTGTGTCATACTTGGGAGTGATCGGGATGTTAGAATTAGATTAAATTAGAAAAGAGTATATCTGTACTGTGCGATACTTCTAAAGGCAAATTGCTTTTCATACTTTGGTATCGTTCCAATACAACGTAAATGTAGTACTACACATAGTTTTACCCTATAAAGACAGCTTAAATGGGAGAAAGCAGTGTGATTTATGAGATAATTCATCATTCTGAGCACATTTTAATGACCACCTTTTAATGTCAACAATAATTAGTTAATGCAAGAAAAAAAACATAACTTTCAGACTTTCCTGTATTTTGAAATTGGGTGTTTTGGAGACACGGAGTGTAAATGTGCATGTCTCTAAAGAACTTTGCGTCAGCATCTGTTGTTTAGATGTGTTATGGGCTATAAATAAAATGACAGTCAATACAAAAAGGTTCAGTCATTTTTCATAGTGCATGTTTGAGATATATTTTTTCATTAACAAAACCACCAATAACGTATTTAACACAGTTCAGTGGGCTACATGCTGAACTTAGAGGAGAGAAACAAAGTAACAATCATATCTCCCTAGTAGTGATTAGATACCAATATCAGTGTTGGTATTGACAGTATCAATATCTGGACTGATCCTCCCACCCCTGGGGTATATGGCCCTCTCAATCTGAGCTGTCCCTCAGATCAGGGTATAGTTAGAAGGGCAAGAGTGAGACACCTAAGGTGAGCAGATGAAAGAAGAAGAAGAGCAAAAACGTCAGTGTGTATTTGTGCTATGTTTTGCAAAATAGCAAAATACATGAATAAAAGTAAAACATAAATCTCCTTCCATACAACAACAACAACAACAAAAAAACGCACTTCCGAACAGAGCCAAAAGGGGGCAGCATGTAACAGACGTTTTAAAGAGACTTGATGTGACTTAAACTAACCTGGACCTGACAAATCCTAAACGCCGCTGTCCTCTATGAGACTGTTAATTATGGGTTAATCCATTAATTTAAACATAAATCTTTGCAAACAAATTCAAACGTTGAGGAATAAGTTTTTTAAACTTAAGAAACTCCAGATAAAATCAAAACAAAAGAAAAAAAAAAACAAGTCACGGGACAATAACTAATATGTGGATTTGTTTCTTTCCATTCAGTTGATATTTATAACAGAACAATGTATTTATATCTTCACTTTACATTCATATATCCCTCCAGGAATATAGTTTCCAGGAATGCTTTTCACTCTTCTTTAATGCAAAAATGAAGCTGTAGTTTATATTAACAGACGACTCTTAAACCGAGTTTTATAGAGCTCTGTTATTAAATGTTGCATAATTGTTGAGTATAACTTAGATATCTATAGATGTTTTCGCTTGTTTATAATCATTCGTGTTTTAGCACAAGAAACCAAGAAGAACAGTTTACACTAACAGGAACTGTATCCTTTCACTTGGTTCAGTCCCCCCCTACAGTCATGCTGAAATGGTTTGTCCTCGCATATAAACTGTGAATCTCGTGCTGTCAGAGCAGACTGTACTCAGCGCTACAATGACTTAAAACGGGGATGTTGCGATGGACAGGAGCACTTCAGAGGATGGACAGATGAAGTACGGTGTCTTTGCGTTTAGTTCACGTAGAGTAGCTCTCACATGACCTGACAGGCAGTACAACGCTTCTAGGATTTAGTAGTAATTAAAAAAAAAGTTGTTCTCCTTTCTCTCTCAGTGCTGCTGTTGACTGGAAACAGCAGTAAAATGCTGCCTTGGAAGAAGAATAAGTTCGACCTGATTGAGGAAGACAAGCAGTCCAAGCAGAAGGGCTATGCGGTGAGTCTCAACTACTCGGCGCTCACCTCCTTCGCCAAGTCCTGCCCCGAGAGCGCACTCAACAGGGTGGGCAGCATGTTCAAGTCAAAGAGGAAAAAGCTGAAGATCACCAGCGAAGATCCCACGTACACGGTGCTTTACCTGGGGAACGCTACTACGATCCAGTCCAAAGGAGACGGCTGCACGGACGTAGCGGTGAGCAAGATCTGGGGCAAAAGCGAGATGGGCAAGAACGGCACTAAGATGAGGCTGACCATCAGCTCCCAGGGCATCCGCATGGTGCATATGGATGACAAGGCCAGGAGACCGGGACACTTGTACTTGCTGCACCGGATAACCTACTGCGTCGCGGACCCGCGGCTACCCAAGATTTTCGCTTGGATTTACAGGCACGAGATGAAGCACAAGGCCGTAATGCTGCGCTGCCACGCAGTGCTGGTGTCCAAGCCGGAGAAGGCAAAAGCCATGGCGCTGCTGCTGTACCAGACCTCGGCAACAGCCCTGGCTGAGTTTAAAAGACTAAAACGGAGGGACGATGCCAGGCACCAGCAGCAGCAGCTCATAGGGGAACAAACCATCCCCTTGGTGCCTCTCAGGAAGCTGCTGAACGGACAGTGCTACTACAAACCCCCGGTGGAGCGCAGCCGGAGTGCACCAAAATTGGGCTCTATCACGGAGGACTTGGTGGGGGAGGAAGAGGAGGAGAAAGCAATGCACTTTGAGTGTGAGGACATTCTGGACACGGACAATGATTGTGTTGCCAATGGCAAACAAGAGTTGACTCAAATTATTAATGACTTGGGAGAGATGAGCATAGGAAACGACGTGCAGACGTTGAAAGCTGACCTCAGAGTCACCAGACTCCTCTCTGGTGAGAGCACAGGGAGCGAATCCTCCATAGAAAGCAACCAGGAGCCGCCACCACTAATCAATGGCTTTGATGAGGTAAAGGTGCAAGAAACTGCCTAAAAAACTTTGCGCATTTCTGGGCACTTGTAGCGCACCGTTCTGTTGAGCCACTGTTGAGAAACAGTTGCAAAGTGCTTGTTTGACATGTGCCACTGAGACTAACAATTGAGAGGACATAAACGTAATTTGGGGGCAAAGCAGACAGACAGTTAGGCTACTGAACCAAGTTAAAAGATTGTGTAAACAAAAGAAAAACAAGGCATACCCATTTGAGAGACAACTTTAATGACAAATTCCCAGCGCGCCTTAGGGCGCACGGCACTAATTCCATCTCTTTTGTTTAAGAGGATTTGCTGTAGCATCGAGCTTGTTTACTTGACGTTTTTTTTTCCTCACTTGAAAATATCATGTTTCTTCTGTAACATGCTCCAATCACCAAGATCCAGAAGCTCCCAAACATTCCTTAAAAAGCATTTAAAAAAGCAGATTTGTTTTCCATCAGGCTTCCTTTACAACCCCCATCAGGGCGCCTGCTCGTCACCTTTTTTATTTCTGCACTGTTGCGACTTCATTGAAGTATTATTTTGACTACCATGTACATACGTTTGCTGGTATGTTGTCTGAAACATAAGTGTCTTATCTTTGCTGTGCAAAAGGAAAAAAAATACCTTTTATGTATTAAGATGTAAAGTAAGATGTTTTAAGTATAAATATGTTATTTTTTAAAATATAAATATATATGTGGTTTGTTATGTGAAATTCAAAGAATTAGCAATAAAAAAGGAATTAAATGAATGTTTTATGTGAATTAATGCTGAAATACAAGTAGGACATCTTTTCTTTCAGCACTGTCTGATACCAGCGAGGTTTACCTTGGGAGGCTCAAAATGAGGTCAGATTTGCACTGCTGAATAAAAGTCACATGGAGGCTAAAAAGCATAACCCTAAACTTCTCATCAACATTATCTGTTACCACCAAGCTATTGGTGTGACTGTGAATGAGTATTTCATTTAATAGCCTTGAATTGATCTTTATCCCCGACCACCACCACCTTTTTTTTTCTTTTTTCCCAAATTGCTTTCAGGCTGTTGAAGTTATTTAGTTAAGGTACTGAAGGCCCATTCATTGTAGCTGGCCTCAGGGAAGGCAGGCCACACATGCAGACGTCACCGGTAGCACAAGCTGTGAGAACATCACATGGCACAAGTAGCACCAGAGGTTCTTCAGCAGCATATTCTAGCTGGTATTTACTTTTACGTCAGTTTGCCTTTATTGAGCGACAACAGATAGAATTCAGAGCATTGCAGATCTATATGCTGCAATATGTGACGGGTATATAGACTCATGCGTTTGAGTCACCCGGTTCATTTCATTCATGTTTGCTCAGCTCACTAAAATCAGATAATCTACATTGTTCCTTTGGTGTGTTGCCAAAGTGTCACCTAAATAAAAGTGTGACTGATAAAAAGATGGAGTCACATCTTTTTCTTAAAGGCACAGCACTCAGCCTAACATGGAACACTCACAGAAGCAAAGACACAAAATCGCCTGATGTGATCTGTGGTCAGCGAAGGATATGACTGGGCCAGCAGCTCTAAATGTGGAAGATGTGCTACTAAATATCAGCGTCGCTTTCATTTTAGAGACAGCAGCAGGTCCACGCTGATGCCACACAGCTCTTCCCAGTGTTAGCCAGATCGGCATATAAACTCAGAAGCACAGATACTGATGCACGGATGCCGTCGGTATTGAGGGCCTGCATGTGAGGGTGAACACTCTAGTCCCATGGAGCATGCTGTGGAGGAACACCTCTCCATTCTCACTAATGACACTGGCACTGTTAGCGAACACAAACGGGACAGAGTGAGACACGAGGAGCAAAAAGCCAAGCTCTCCGTGGTCATAGAGGTGGTCGATTGTCATATGGACAGATAGGAACATACAGATGAGGTATTCCCTTAAAAACAAATAAAGGAATAAATCTAGAGAGAACAGCTATTTCTGTCAGTGGTTGGT